CTATGTGTTTTATCATGTCCTCCAGCTGATTTTGATGTATATTTAAGAGAACCATTTATCTATAGGACTCGCAATCTACTGCATGTGAGAGTGAAAAGTTAAAAATAATCCCTAAGTTTCTGGCCTGAACAGTGGGGCAAACTGTGATACTGCCATTCATCACTGAAAGAGGGGACAGCGGAAGAGGAGCAGGTCTGGAGAAGGGAGCGAGACTCTCTGAGGCTGACGTATTTCCCCCACATTTTATGTACACAGAAACTGAAATCTGGAAACATGAGATGGCACACCAAGACCAACCCCCTTAGTTCTCATTCTGTTCAATGTAAATATATCTTGTAGCTCAAAATGGTACGATGAGCCAGTATTTATGGACATAAGAACATAAGAGCAGTCCGTAAAAAATAAGGATTTCTTTTTTCTCCTTATGAAATTACTGCTTTATATGGAGCACTGTTTTGCTAACAGAACCTCTCAAACATTTATGGAATTAGGAGAATGTGCTGGAACTGAAATAGTATGTTCTAGGACTAATATGTCAAATATGCCACTGTGGTACTACAAGACATGCCTATAAGCGTAAGACAGGTATTTGTAGTGCTGCCACATTTTGTTGAAAAGTAAAGCTATGGAGGCTTTTCCTGCTTCTGCCTCTAAAGTAACATTATGGCATAAGCATGTTTTAACTGTCGTGCACTCTGCTGAAATCGGGAGGCCTGTGTTCTGATCCTGGCAGTGAGGTAACTAACTAACCAGCTGAGGACCTTGACCTAGTCAGTTTACCTCTCTGAGCTCAGCTTCCTTTTCTACAAAAATCAAAGGATTGGACTAGATGACCTCTTCCATCCTTCCAGCTTTAACATTTATTATCTCTGAGGATCAAGTGATGGGGTTTGTTTTCTAAGTGCTTTCTTATAATAATTACTTTAAGAGGTCATCATTATCAAGAATGGGCTTGGGCTCAGTGTTTCTGGACTACAGCTTTTCATAGCTATTGGTGTTAGCGTTTTAGCTCAGCATGGACAAGGTGATTCCTCTTACAAGAGGACATAGTTAGCTAAGGAATAACCTCCTCACCCAGAATTCAAAGCTAAATAATGCTTAGGTGAAAGTAATGCAGTCAAAATCTTAAACTTTCATTAAACACTAGTTTGAGCCTCCATTTAGCCTAACATACCTACTCATAATGCATTCCCTAGATACACCGCTTTTCCATTCTCCCAGCAATTCAGCTATGAAACTACAAAATGTCAACTGCACAGTAAACTTCTCTTTTGGAAAGACAGTATAGCTTAATGGTTGAAAGTGCTGACTTTTGACACATTAGGCTAGAATCTCAGCTGCATCTCTCCTTACTTATTGCTAAGTGACATTGAGCTGGGGATTTACCCCTTTCACCTTCACTTTCCTCGTTATAAAACAGGAATAACAGTACATCATGGTGTTGTTATTCTATTTAAGTATAAAGTATTTACTATGAGGTAGAATTGTGTTGACACTGGAGTTACAATGTTGAACCTATAGACCAGTAGGGGAGATGGACAAATAGTCATATGAATGTGCTGGAAAGAGCACACAGTGCTGTAAGAGCCTATAACAGAAAGATGTGATCCAGACGGCAGGGCCAGAGAAGACTCCCTTGAGAAGCAGGCCTTGAGTTTAGATCTGAAGGGTGAGTAGGGGTAAACGAGGAGAACAAAGATAAGAAGACGATTCTGGGTAGAAAGACAAGCCTGTTCAAAGGCCCTGTGGTGGGAGTGAGCTTGGCATGAAGGAAGGACCTAAAAAGTTGTATTAATGGAGCAGAGAGAATGCATAGGTGTGTGATAAGACATGCATTTGGAGAAGACCAGATCATGAGGGACCTTTTAGGCATATAAAGAGTCTCATCTCAACCCTAAAAGAAATAAGAAGCCATTGACAATTTTTAAAGTGGAGAGATGAGTAACAGTGATTTTTTTTGTCATTTTGAAAAGGTCACTTTGGCTGCAGTATGTAGATCAGGTTGTATAGAAGTCAGAGGAAATGAGGACAAATTATGACACGATTTATTGCCCAATCAAGACGCAAACGGTAGAATGATGAGAGGGGTTGAAATAAATTGATGAATTCCAGAGATATTTAAGAAGTAAAATCTATAAGACTGGCCATAGACTAGAAATACAGGCAATAGAAAACAAGATGTCAAAATTGACAGTTTTTTTGGGGCTTAAGAAATTGACTAAAAAGGAACACCAGAAAAGGATCATATTTTTATTTTGTTTTAAAAACTTTTTAGGGGGTGGTGGAGAGTAAATTAGGTCAAGTGTTCAGCTTTGCACATATAAATTTTAAGGTTATCTTAATATCTAAGGAGAGACATCAAATAGGTAGTTGAGCATCTGGAGCTCAGAAGAGATAAATTTATTGAGATAAATTTAACCTTGACCAACATCAACAATTAATGACCTGGTTGAGCAAGAGGAAAATCGGGGTACTGTGTCTCATAAGCCAAAGAAGAGAGGCTTTTAAGAAAGGTGAAGAAATCAATAGTATCAAATATGTCTAAAAACTCATGAAAAATGAGGTCTAAAAAATGTCCTTTGGATTCAGCACCACAGAGGTCTTTAATGGCTTGAGTGAAAGCTATTTCAAAACATGGGACTGGCTGAATATGCTAAAGAGCATGTAAGTGAGAGATAAGGAAATGGAAACTGCAAGTAGAGATCATCTATTAAGAAAGGAAGGAGAGATACAACATTAGCTGCGGGGTGAGACTGTGTGAAATGAGATTGAGTGAGGTGTTTTTTTGTCTGTTGGTGGCTTGGTTGGTTGGTTTTAAGATGGGAAAGATTTGAGCATACTGAAAACCCAACGAGAAAGAGTTGAGAGGGAGAGGTTGCCTATACAAGAGAGAATGAATAAAGCAAAATTCCTGGCAAGGGGGTAGGAATGAGGTAGGAGGAATTAGCAGCCGATAGGACACAGGATATCCCTTTATTGTAAAAGGAGGAAATGAGGATCAAATATGTACAAATACAGACAGCTTCATATGTCTGGAAAGATAAGGATTCCTATGTAATGGCTTCTATGTTCTCTGTAAAGGAAAAGAACAGATCTTCAGCTGGAGGTGAAGCCACTGAAAAGAGTTCATGTTTCAAATAATCCTTGTGAAGAACAGGACAAAGAAATGATCACAGAAACATTAAAACTGCTAGGCAGTTTTGAGGGCCCTTTTGAGGTATGTGATCACGAAATTATAGTGGAGCAAACTGTCCTGTTGTACTCCAGATCTCTCCTGTAGGTAGAGATTAATGAAAACGTATTATTTTTTGGCACTGTTTCTTTCCTCCTTACCTACCAGTGGGACCTGGAATAGGTTCCCCTCCACAACATTCTCATTTCTCAGACTGATTCGCAAGTGGCATCGGAGGAGTAAAATTGCATTTATTCTACACTAAACGTCTTATGACTGGAAACATCTAGAAAAAGATTAAAATTTCTCTCAACTCAAGCCAGTGCTTAAGGCCAAACTATTAACCAACCATTGGAACAATTTGTCTTTAGAAAAACAACTCTGACAAGTTATCAGTTATTACATTGCGATTGCCATTTCTAAGCAGAAATATATAGAAACAAGTAGTAAACTGGACGTGTTTACCTTGATGTGTGTGAATTATTCTTACATCAGAAGGCACAAATATTCTTGTGTTTGAAAATCAATTGTATAGAATTATAATTTCTCAGGTCAAAGTACATGGTTACTTTTTGATTATGAAAACTCACTTATGTGATGCTTCCCAGGCTTCCTCTTCTTCTAGAAGATCTCTTATGATGTCTGAACTGGAACTAAAAGGATATACATCAATATTGCCAGACAATAGACTGCACAGTTCCATTTACATAAAATTCTAGAAAAGGCAAAACTAATCTAGTGACAGAAAGCAAATCAGCAGACCAGTGGTACCTGCGAGCTGCAAGCAAGGGGTGGGCGAGGAGGGATTATAAAGCAGCCCAAGGACACTTCGGGGATGACGGGTAGGTTCATTATCTTGATTGTGGGGATGGTCATAGATGTATACATATGTCAAAGCTCATCCAATTGTGTGCTTTAAATATTTGCACTTTATTATACATCAGTTTCAATAAAGATATTTTAAAAAGCTTAATAAATTAGCAATAATAATGAAAAAAATCACCAAAGCTTAAATAAATCCCTCAACATAAAACCTGGATTCAAATGGAATAATACAGTCATGAGTCTTTTCCATTTTCCATGGCAACCGAAGATCAAATCATGTTTTAAAAACTTCACTCTAGCAAAGAGATTCACAAGAGATATTAAGTTCCTAAGTGGTTTTTAGTCCCACAGTAAGCAAAGTAAGGTAAAACTTAATTAATTTGAACTGTGCTAATAGTGGAATTTGTTATAATGCAACCTGGCTTAAAATGCATTGTATTTTTGGCCTATCTGTGCAAGGTAAATAAAATTACAGAACGCATATATTATTTCTTTAAAAAAAAAAAACCAACTGTTTTAAGGTTTTAGCATCTTGTTCTGACCCCAATAAATTCCTACCAGATAATTTTTTTTTAAAGGACATGTACATCATTATCAAAAAAGCTAAGATAGCCAAGACATAGAATGCCATTGGCACTGGATGGGACAACTCAGAAATAGCAGCCACTTCCCCAGGGTACAGAAGGCTAAAACAAAGGGATCATTCTCAAGTGAGAAACAACAGGTTTGGAAATGTTAGTGCCAATCATATTTCTAATGATACTCTAATAGATAAAGAGTTTACAAATTATGAAGACTTAAAGTGCCAGTGAATCATTCTCAACCACTTCTGACAAATCACTTTGAAGTAATGTTTGCCTATGTATGAACAAAAAAAGGCGATAATAAGAGTCAGTAAATACAGTTCTTTACAAATGTTTTACTCAAGGGCTTTCCACCCAAACTCCTGAAACTATCAAGGAGCTCTATGCGGGAGCCACTCTGATTGTGGTTCATGTGTACAATGGCCTATGTGTGGGGATTCCAGTCACACCTCAAGTACAGTGGCTCTCTAATATAGCTAGCACAATGGTTCTCAGGCTTTTCAGGATACGGATCCTAGCAATGCTTTTAGTATTTGTGGCTTGAGAAAATACATAATTATAATGAGACATTATAAATTCAGTAATACTTTTAGTTTGCATGCTATTAATTATAGTGGCACATGCATACATTTTTAAAACAGCAGCACATGTATTTGTGAGATACTCTTTATGTCTATAGATAATTTTTGCTGTGCATGTGCTTCTGCAGACCCACTGCAATCATTCCTTCAGGCATCTGGGCTGGTAACCATTGATCTAGCCTTGTCAGAAGACCTATGCATCTACTACTCTTTACACTGAGGGTGGCCCACTGCTCAAATGCAAGTTCCGCTGAAAATAATAACACATTAATTTATCATCAGTCATTGTCACCTCAGTGTAAACTGCTTATAACAAGCTTTCCAATTCAATGGCTAGCTAATGTAGTTTTTATTAGGAGGGAAGAGGCACAAGCAGGAGGCCTTTAGGAGATCCAAGGCAGATTTTACCGACTTTCTTCTTTTCCTAAGAGACCCTCGCTAGGAAGGCATAGATCCACTGCCACCCCTATCACCACAGAAGTGCTCTAAACCTTTCTGATCCCAATCTCTGTTATTCTTTACTTTGGTGATAATTACTCCAATTTCACAAAGAAAACTGAAGCTCTTTCAATGTAACCATTTCATCCCCTCTCTTGACTCCAAGTTATATTACTCCTTCATTCATTCTTCTTTATCTGGATAGAGCTACAGCAATGTTTCTCAACACTTTTTCATTATTGCCCCCACCGCCACAAACCTTTTTAGACATTTTTTTCCTAATTATTCCTACATGAAATTTTAATACCACAAATAGAACATATATCTGTTTATGTATTGTATATATACCTGTGCTTTATACATATAAAGAGTAAGATATTTTGGCCATCCCTGCCCACAAGAACCAATTTCTAACCCTTAGGGGGCAAAATTGCTCCTGTTGAGAACCCATGAGCTAGGAGAATTGGGATTAGGGGTGGTCATGTGGCCTCGGGTTCTAGTAGATGTCACACAGCTAGAGAAATAGTAAAGTCAGCTTCTTGCCAATACCCCCAAACACATGCTTTTTTTTTTTTTTTTAACAGGAAGGTTGCAAAGCATCCCTACTATTCCAGCTACGTAAGCAGAATGGCCAAGCCTGTCAACTAACTTAGTAATCTGTGATCAATTTACCTAGGGGCTTTCAAATCATCAGTACAAATCACTGGTTTGTTAAAGGAAAATATTTGCGGTACATTAATGACATAAATCTAAGAGGTTTTTGCTACGCTACCTCAGTGAAAACAGATGGTAGAGGAGGTTGACAAAAAACACATTTCAAAAGATGCCTGCAATTGACCAACCAGACTACATGATTTCATGATTGCCTCAATTCTTCTTACCCTTCCGTCTACTTCAGCTCAGTCACTAACCTGAACAATAACCAATCAATAGACTGAATGATACAAAGTCTGGGAGGTTTGAAGTTTACCTAAGATGAAGCATCAGGATTATCTGCTATATCTGCTGCTCCAATCCTAGTCAGAAATGGAGATACTAATACATTTAAAACACCAGGTTGGACTGTTCATTCCTTCTTAAGGTTTTGTACTTAAACTCAGAAGCCACATTCCTGAAACTGAACATACAGTTTCACAAATAGGATTTTAGAAAGAGATTTAGACTACTGGGCATAACAGCAAGTGGTACTAAAATTATCATTCTCAGATCTCTTCAGTGTAGACAGAAGTAGTTATTGGGTCTTCGGAAAAGTCATGACGTATTTTGTCTATGTTTTTCAAAGGTCATTTATTTATATAAAGAACAAAGATCCATCAATGATATATGGCCCATTTTGTTTGATAACCTTTTGCCATCTTTCAGTGACCTTCATAATTCCTCATTCATAGA